TCTGTCTGTCAGACCTGCTGGAGTCTGCAGTACTGATGTGCCAAAACACAGTGCATTTCAGCATCATCCCCTCCGAGGAAAACCTTTGGTCCAACCCTGTACCCACATTTTGGACTGCACATGAACACTGTGGAGTTCTTCCTGCTCTCCCTGGCCTGTGCAGCAGTGTAGAAGCTCAGCTATTACAACCCTAGACTATGGGAGAGACTTTAATTCATCTAGGAAGTGTTTGCTTGTTGCTTGTTTCCTTAGTGGTAATTTGTGTGCTGGGAGCCTTGCAATTCATTTGACTTTGGCAAGCATCTGTTTGCTGATGTTTGTGTTTGGAAATGGGGAAGAGCTTGTGGTCCAGCTCTTGATATTGCGCTGCTTCCTATGGGGAGATGGCTTGTGGGAGGAACATGATGAATGTGTGAGCAATTTATATTGTGTGAGGTACTTTTATAGACTTTTATAAACTTTCATATAGTTTTATAAGCACTATAAGTTATAGGTGTCAAGATGGCCGCGGGTGTCTTTTCAAGAACAAAAGGAAATCGGTGCCAAGAAGAAGGTGGAGTTTGATAAAGTAAATAATTGCCTTGTTACCTGTTAATAACCAATTATGAAGGTATTTGTAATGCATGTTTACATCTGGACAGTGACCTGTAACCAATTATGTGCTTCTTGTCACGAGACCTTGTATACAGATGCTATAAAAACCCTGAGCTATCCTAATAAATCGGACATATTTTAGATCTCATAGATCGTGTATGTATGTCTGAGCCTCCCCGTCAACACCAAACAACAAACAACAAACAACAAACAACCAGAATGCCAAGCAGGAACTGCAATGCACCTGCCACAGAGACGACTTCTGGGCGGGAAGGACAAATCCAACTCACCACAAATGGATGGCTCTTTGCTTTCCTTCTGACAGCAGCACTTGAAACACTTCCTCATGACCATGAACACGTAGGCAAAGATGACGAAAGGGAAGGGGATGGTCAGGTGACTGCAGTATTCCTGCACCAGGAAGTAACGCTGGAACTTCCACACCTGGTCGTTGTTCTCTTGCACTGATCCAACCGTGTAACTAATGGGTGAAGAAACAGAAAACACCCCCAGGATTAGATACTCAGAGAGCCCCATCAGAGCCAGGGAATACAGCATTTCTGTGCTGCACCAGGGCAGGGTTTCACAGAGCCACAGAGTCACGGACTGGTTTGGGTTGGAAGGAACCTCAATCCCTCCCCAGGACACTGCACCAGCTTCCATCAGACTGCTGTGAGAAATGCAGAGCCCGAGGGCTGGCTTCCTGCTGTTTTCCAGGACTCCATTCCCCCTCCCAGAGATACACTGGTCCAGAGATCCCAAGGAAGTGATGGCTCCTTTCTTACGTACCCAAACGTGGCCATGAGCAGGTTCATGAGGAGGATGTTGGTTGAGAGCATGGAAATGCAGACAAGGGGAATGGTGATCCCCTCAGGAAAGCAGGGCTGGTTGTTGGCATCCAGCTCCACACACAGGGGTTTGGACTCGTTCCCAGAAAAGGTGCAGCGGTCAAAGTTGTAGGTGGTACCTCAGAGGGGAGAGCAAACTCTGAGTCCTCTCCTCCACTTTCTTCTGGGCTCTGCTCTGACCACAGTTCGTGTGGCCTCCTCCCTCCCTGCCTCCCCATCAGATCTGGAGGCAAAGGGTCAACACACAGGTCAACACAGGCCTGAAGGACAGAGCCTTCCACCCAGCCACCCAGCAGAGATCCCCCAGGAGTTAATTACCATCCACATCATCAGGGTACTGGCCAAACATGGCCAGGTAGGGCTCGTAGATGACCGATCGGAAGATCCACTCCCAGCGGTGCTCGTTCTTCCTCAGGACGCCTTGCCTGGCCACTCCAAAGGCCACCATCCACACAGCAAAGAGGAAGAGGAAGAAGAAGACGTCTATCATCTGAAAAAGAACAAGCATCAGTGCCCCAACCACACGTCTGCTCCAAGCCACGCGTGCTCCCGATTTCACCAACACACATCCACAAACAACTGACCATTCCCACAGCACAACCTCTGTCCCGGTGAGGCCCTCCCTCAGCCAGCCCAGGGAGCTCCAGCATGGCCAGTGCCCAGGGAGAATCGCCCAGCCCGGCCTGTTCTCTCTGACAGAGCTCCTGAGCTGGGAAGATGGGGCTGGGAGTTCCAGGCTGGGCTTGCTTGGGCTTTGCTGGGCTGGGCAAGGGCTGGGAGCTGGGAGCATTGGGGCTGCTCCTCCAGCTCCTGCTCTCACCGTGTTCTCCTCCTTTCCCTTCCCAACCCCACTTGCACCCCCCACGGCACATGGGGTTTACAGACATCCCTGTAACTCCCAGCGGGTTTGTCCCTGTGTTCAGGAATCTGCCCTGAGCCAACCCCTGGGGTCGTCTGCTGGACCTTCATTTGTTTGGTGTCAGAACCCCCGTGCTGAAATGGTCTGTCTGAGTCCCCAAAAGGAATAAGAATGAAGATTCCTCCCAGCACAGGAAGGTCATTGTGTCCATGGAGTGCCAAGAGTGGCTCACCAATTGCACAGGAGAGATGGAGGGTAAGGGCTTTTTTTCCTGCCTGGAACTTCATTTGTTTGGTGTCTGAACCCCTGCGCTGAAATGGTCAGTGTGACGGAAAAAATAAAAAGAATAAAGATTCTTCCCAGACAAAAGGTGCCAGCACAGCAAGCTCCATGTGTGCATGGAGTGCCAAGAGTGGCTCACCAACTGAACAGGAGAGATGGAGGGTGAGGGCTTCCTTTTTGGCTGGAACTTCATTTGTTTGGTACCAGAACCCCCGTGCTGAAATTGTCAGTCTGAGTCCCCAGATGGCATAAGAATGAAGATTCCTCCCAGAGAAAAGGTGAAAGCACAGGAAGCTCCATGTGTGCATGGATTGCCAAGAGTGGCTCACTGTGATGGTTTCGGTCTAGTCCTTTCTGGTGACCATGTACCCAGTATTCCATACGATTTGTACGTAAACCAGAGTATGAATAAGTTGTAGATCAGAGACCTCGCTCTCTTCTCTTCCTGCCAGGTTCAGGGCAGAGGGTCCTTGTGTTGGTCTCGCTTATCCAAGGCTGAGGCCTGCAGTGACCCCTGGCCTACCACGTGGGAGATTGGAGAGTGCTGGTCCTGTCTGCCAATCCTGCTTTTCTAAGGGACATGGTGAGATCTGTTTTGCTAGTTATTAGGATAGTTCTTGAGTTTGATTGTGTATATCTGTTCGGTGTTCCTTTTTGTCCCCTTTTGTCCCTTTTCCCCTTTCCCTTTCCCTTCAGGGGGTGTTTGGATTCCCTGTGCTGTGTACATAGCATCTTAACTGTATATAACTGTAACATACATAAATATATATATATATTTATATAATTAGCTTTATTTAGGGTTTTTCAATTTTTTATATTTTTTTTCCTTTGCTCTAAGGGAAGAAAGGAGGAGGAAGGGGGTTGCTACTGTGATTTCGGGCATTTGGCAGGGAGCCAGGTCCGAACCATCACAACCATAAACCTCATAATGGTGCAGGCCCCATAAAGGCACTGTCCTCATAAAGCCCAACAACCTCATAATGGGGCTTTCATCATAAAAGCTCTGTCTTCATAAAGCCCATACATGTCATAATTGTGTTGTCCTCATACAGACCATAAACCTCATCAGGGGCTCCCATGATAAAGGCCATGTCCTCATAAACCCCATAAACATCATAAAAGCTCTGCCCTCATAAACCCCACCCACTTCATAAAAGTGCAGGCCTCATAAAGACACTGCTCTCATAAAGCCCATAAACCTCATAATGGTGCAGGCCTCATAGAGCCCAAACACCTCATAAAAGAGCTCTCATCATGAAAGCTCTGTCTTTAAAACACCCTTCCATGTCATAATGGTGCTCTCCTCATAAGCCCATAAACCTCATAAGAGGCTCTCCTCATAAAGTCTCTCTCCTCATAAACCCCATCCACCCCATAATGGTGCAGCCTCATAAAGGCACTGTCCTCATAACCCTCACACACCTCAGAATGGTGAAGGTTTCATAAAGCCCCTGTCGTCATAAGGCCCATAAACCTCCTCATGGGGCTGTCATCATAAAGGAGATGTTCTCATAAATGCCATAAACCTCATAAAGGCTCTGTCCTCATAAAGCCTGTGCACCTCAAATGGGCTCAAACATCATAAAGGCTCTGTCCTCATAAACACCATAAATGTCATAAAAGCACTGTCCTCATACACCCCATACACCTCATGACAGAGCTCTCATCATAAAAGATCTCTCTGCATAAAGCCCATGCAGGTCATAAAGGTGCTGTCTTCGGAAAGCCCACACACCTCATAAGAGGCTCTCCTCATAAAGGCCATGTCCTCATAAACCCCATAAACGTTGTTCCCTAAAAGGTTGCAGAGGAAAAGACTCCAGGCCCAACTAGGTAGGGGTCAGAGAAACAGCAGAGGTTTCCATGAGCCTCCAGCTCCAGGAATACAAACCCACACCCATCCCTTCCAACGCAGGGGTTACAGATTTTATAATGATTTCCACCCAATGCCCGTCCCGTCCCCGCCCCGGTTCTGCCCCGCTCTGCCCCAGGAACGCCCGTGGGGAATTGAGTCTGGGGAGTTTGGAGCTTTGAGCCGCTGCAACTACAACTCCCGGCGTGCCCCGCGCGGAAAAGGGGCGGGCGGGGTCTCTGCCGGCGGTGCGCGCGCACAGCCCCGCGGTGGCTGCCGGGAAAGCGATGGCGGCGACAGCGGGATCTGCTCCGACTTTGTGAGCCCTGGCGGGGGCTGCGGCGGGGCTGGGGATGCGCTCGGGGGCTGCGGGGAGCGCGGCTGTGGGCGGGAAGGCTGGAGGGCTCGGCAGAGTGGAGAGGAGGGGCTCGGGGGTTCCCGAGGAGGTTTTGAGGTCCGTAAGGGCCTCTCGGGGGTTCGCGGAGGGGATTTGGTGTCCTGAGGGCGCTCAGAGGGGAGGGTGAAGGTGCCTGAAGGGGTTTAGGGGTCCCTGAAAGGGCTGGGGCCATGGAACCCCTCAGGGAGAGCTGTTTAAACGCCATGGCTGCACTGCGCAGGCGCCGGCGGAGTTTCCACGAGGGAACTTCAATCCCCATGAAGCTCCGCGCGGCGCCGCCATTGCCGCTCGTGCCACAGCGCCCCCTGCCGGCTGGGCGGACCGACCGCAGGGCAAGCGGATCCTGAAGCCCCCCGCGAACCCCAGAGACCCCCAAAACTCAGCACACAGAGACACCACAGGGAGGGGATCCAGGGGTCCCTAAAGCCTATCAGTGGGGTTCAAGGGGTCTCCCAGTCCTCAGGGGAGGGGTCCTGGCGGTGCCACCCAAAGTCTTGTGGGAGATGAACCACATGCGAGTAAGGGTATCCTAGTGCCCCCAGTATAGCCCAGTGACCTCCCAGTGGCTCTCAGTATGGCCCAGTAACCCTCCCAGTGACCACCCAGTGTTTCCCAGTAACCTCGCACTGTCCCCCAGTATGGCCCAATGATCCTCCAGTGAGCACCCAGTAACCCCCAGTATGGCCCAGTAACCTCCCGGTGTCCCTCCGTGTGTCCTGGTAATCCACCCAGTAATCACCCAGTCCTTCCCAGTGCCCTCTCAGCATCCCTCAATAACCCCCAGTCCCTCCCAGTGCCCCCTGGTTCCCCCAGTGTGTCCCAGTATCCCCCAGTAATCACCCAGTGCCCCCCAAAGCCCCCTAATTGTCCCCAACACAAAAATGTGTCTCCACATATCTTTGAATTTTCTATGAGTGCGAAGGGGGAATGGGGGTTGGTCTGGGGTCAGAGGGTCCAGAGGGGGCTTCTGGGAGGTGATAGAGGGCTGGAGACATTTGGGATGGGGTTTGGGGACAGTGGAATTGGGGGTGTCAAGGGGGAATTGGGGCCATGGGGAGGCCCTGAGGACATTGGGGACACCAGGGGGGTCTCGGGACTCACCTGCTTGTGGTGCTGCCCCTCCTCTCCCACCCAGGTGCACCTGAGCAATGGCCCGGAGGTGAGCCCGGAGCTGGCCCTGAGGTGGCCCTGAGAAGAAGTGGAAGGCAGAGGTGGTGCTGAGGCAGGAGAGCCCCGTGCTGGGGAAGAGGCTGAGCTGGGAGTGCCCAGCAGCGAGAAGGTGCTGTGTGCATGCCCTGTGTGCCAGGTGAGCTGGGGCTTTGCTGCAGAGCTGCGGGCGCTGATTGGAGCGGCTGCAGCTGCTGAGCTGGTGGCCCCCAGGAACACAAAGTGTGCCCGGCCACGGAGCCTGCAGGGAGGAGCAGGGACAGCCCCAGGGGAGCACTGGGGGGCCGGGAACCTCTTGGCTGGGCAGGAAAGAGCTGCTGGCCACGAGGACGGGATGTTGGTCCCAGCCATGGATGAGGCCAAGCAGAGCACGGGGCCTCTTGCAGACACCTGGAGCAGCCTCCCACTTGCCAGCCCTGCCCTCGTGGGGTGACACTGTCCCCTCCCTGCAGGACACTCCCCCTGAAATCCTTGGGTGGGGGGCCTTTTATGTCTTTCGCTGGTTGCTGCTTCACCCTGGGGACCTGAGGGCCCCTCTGCAATCCCATCCCTGGGGCACAATCTGCTCTCCAGATGAATCTGAGAAATCCAGTAGAGAAAGTGCCCAGAAGCTTTTGGTCTTTTGAGCAGCAAAGGTGTTTATTTGTCGAGGTCGGGAGCAGGCGGGGTTGGCACCACAAAGCTCAAAGGTATTGGTACAAAACAGGGTAATTTACACAGTCTGACTTCTATGATTACAACATCTTACAAACATATTCATTTGATTGCAACATCTAATCCTTCATGTTGATAATAACTGGAGTACAGGCAGAGCTCAGGCGGAGCTTGGGGTGGAGCTTTTCTTGGCCCTCAGTTCTGGGGGTTCATCCCCCTTTCTTCATCATCAGGGCTGGGGTCTCTGCAGTCTTCCTCAGTGTGACCCCTCTAACTTTCCACTGTCTTTGCCCCAGTCACTGAAGCTTGGAGAGAGCCTTGGCTTTAGGCTATTTCTCCTATTCAAATGTCTCCTTTGGCTGACTTTGCCTTAATTTCTGGCCTGCAGACCCACTGGATAATGTTTCCAACCTTCTTTAGATTATAAGGTCCAAGGAACGGAACAGAACAAATTTTTCTTTAGCAATTTAGGCAGAGCAGGTATGGGGGGGCTTCTCTCAGCTGAGCAAGATATTTCGGGTAATTCTTTAGGCCTTGCTCTCGTTTCAAGGGGGAATGTCTGGGAAGGCAGAACCCCAAAGGTGAGAGTCAGAGGAGAAGGGACCCGTGGGACCCCCAACAATCCCAGCATCCCTAAAGCGGGATCCCAAACATCCCAGACAGAGGAGACCCTCAGAACCCCAGAGGGGGGAGACCAGAGAGGGGGAACTCCTGGAAGAGTTTTTTTTGGGCTGAATCTTCATTTTGGCTGAACCTTAAGTTTTTACAGTTTGATGAGAGGTTTCCACCTCGCTATTTCTGAGGGAGTTTTTTGCATGAAAGTAGGCAGATTGGGTTTTTCTGTGCTGAATTGTGATGTTTTGGAGGCTTTTATGGTCCCAGGATGCCCGGTGAGTTCTAGAGATGGACTTGGGCAGGAGGAACCCCCAAGGAAAGGCACTCAGCCCTTGTTTCCCCCCATCCTTCCCAAAGCTTGGGCGGATGGAGGAGGAAGCTACAAGGAAGAGGAAAAAGCCGCAGGCCCCCCAGGCAGGTGAGGAGGAAGTCAGTGCCCCTTTGGCCCTGTCTTGTGGTGCCTGTGGGGGCCAAATTTGGGGGGGATGTCCTTGGCCTTCCCTCTGGGCCGGAGGCAAATCCCCTTCCTGTCCTTCTTCCCTCCTGCCCCAGACCCCGAGCTGAGGACGGAGAGCATGGAGGACAAATCCCCCCGGCAGAGCCTGGTGGGAGAGGCCGTTTTGAAGGGCTCCCTGGCACAGGAAGGCAGCGGGGAGGAAAAGGCCCGGAGATGCCCCCGGAGGAGGGGCTGCAAAGCCAGCCCAGGGAGCTGTGAGGAGGAAAGACCCGGCCTGTGCCGGGAAGGCGGCCGGAGCTTGAGCCGGAGCTCCAAGCTGGTGGTCCCTGAGCAGCCTCCCAGCAGGGAGAAGCCCTTCAGGTGCTTGGAATGTGGGAAGAGCTTCAGGGACAGCTCCGCCTATCTCAGGCACCAGCTCATCCACACTGGGGAACGGCCCC